TCTTTTTATGCGCATCCAGTGTAACCAGTGTAGCTTTGCCTATCTTTCAAGCAAAGCTCGCAGGAAAAAACTGGGGAATGCAATGGATTGGACCGATTGGCATGGTGTCATATTGGCGATATCGTTAAGTCACCAATCCTGAGGGGCCAATCTTCATGCCGTCACATGAATGTACAATGTAAGAGCTTGCGTTTTTCAGGCCTCAGAAAGGCTTTGATTAAAACGGCAGACATTAATGACAAACATTAACCAATTTATGGACTACGTCTAAACTATAGAAGCATTGTGAAATTCATGTTCACATGCACGGTACACAAAGGGAGATGGAACAGACTCGCTTCAAAAGTTGATGTGCACATCGCAGCGGTGCGCGTTCATCGTTCTTTTGCTCCGCGTAATGCCTGCCTCTAAGGACTCGTTGCTGCCATGTCGCGTAAACGAAAAGATATGCAAAAGGTATATTGTGGGGTTGTGTAGTGTTGCGTTGTGCCGTGTATTGTGGTATTTTGTTGTGGTGTGATTTTTTGTATTAAAGCAAACTATTTGATCTCAGAGCAGGTTTACATTGCACCTTGCTCCATTTAGAACGGTTTTAAATAACTGTTTAATCCAAACCCCAAGGGTGTATGTAAAATCATATTGAAACTGGGGAATTGAGGACTGTCAGGATTAATAAATGTACACAATTTATTCAAAGGCACTTAAACTGATTGACGAAAACAGAAATTTGTATGGCAATTTTAAGCTCTGAACAGCGTTTGTACGTTGATGTGAAAACCAATCATATCAGGAGCTCTTGACCAATCAGAAACATCCTAGTGTCGAGGAAGCCACATGAAATGTATTAGAAAGACGTGAAAAATGAAAGGAAAATCTGCACCAGAATAAAAGGGGTATTTATTATAGATATATTAAGCGTGATTCTACTGCTCTTGTTAATATATGCCGGCTTTTATAAGTGCAAATGTAAATGTTATTTGTTTTTAATTCACGAATGCTTAATGCTTAAGAGTTTTTGATTATGGCCGGCTGAAACTTTTTAAATCGTCGCTCGGTGTTTCAAATTATGTGGGTAATTATTTCTAAACACCACACTTCTTATGTGGCTGCAAAAAATGAAAGCTTCCAGTTGCTTCCTATGCACAGATTTAATTCGGTTAACTTCCCCCTCTATAGCACCACCTGTACTGGACAAATAACTTAAAGGCAGATACATTTTTCTTCGGGCAGTACCAAGGAATCGTGTTTCCAGATCATATAAATACCTTGTGGCCAACAATTACAACAAGTAAATGCGCTTTTGCATAAACACCAGCTGCTCCCGAGGCTTGTTATTACGAGATATTGCATCATTTGCAGTATAGTCCTATGGACTGAACCGTCCGACAAATTATTCTCAAGGGTGCAGCGTTTATTCTTCTCGTGTACTATTCCATCACCTTTAAGTAATTTAGTGTGTTGGTCAAATTAACTGAGCAGCAATTCCGTCGGTCAAACTGTCATTGAGTAGTTAGTCTATTGACCGAAACAGGTCTTTGATGAGTGTGCTGCATGGCAATAGTTTCCTTTCGCTTTCCCATTTATATACACCAGTACCAGAACTTATTTTAGACATTTTAGAACTCCTTTCAATTTCACATCCAGCAACGGAGTATTTTGGTGGAGACGGGTTATGAGGGGCAGCCTGCAAGTGCGGCGGACCACATCTTCCATGAAAATTAGGGCGGAAACTCACTCCCGCCCCGCGTAACTTTAATATCGCTAACGAAATAATTCATGGGCGTGAAAGACATACGTGAATCATTCATTGTGTAAGCACCTGAGGCTTAAGTAGAAACGGTCTTGATCAAACATCAAAGGCATTCATTACGCTGTGATGATGATAGAGCAATGATGACGTCGATGCTTAGATTTATGTACTCCACACGCACCAAGTTGATAGAAATCATTTGAGAGAATCAATGTATGGTGACGCATCACGAAACAATAAGGAGTTCTTTTTCAAGAAACAAAATGAGCCTGCTGCATGGGTTATTATCACAATCCAAACGACAAAGGCATGCTTCGTTAGCGCTATTCAGGGTATAAAGCGTGACGTCATTGTACCACAGATGGATTTTGTATGGTACAACTAATTAAGCCTTTATAGCTCAACGCTGTCCAAGGATGCCGTTGATAAAAAAATAGCCATCCAACGTGGCAGGGGAATTATTGCCGGACGTACGACAGACGACACTGGAGGGGGCCGGGGGGATAATGACGTGTGCAGATATGCGCAGCAAATGAAAACTCGTGCATGGTTTAATACTTTACCATCCAGTATAGTGTAATTCGACCACCAGAATTAGATGCCATTACTGCAGTGGCACATGGCTCGTGGACAGGTGGTACGCGCCCGCTACCTTTTCGACCAATAGGGTGTCGTGATTTGCCAAATGCACGCGCGCGTCAAGTTGAAGAATGTGCGTGTGAGTGCGGGGCCACCGCAGTTAGGGTGTCTTACCGGATTAGTGTTTAAATCTGTAAAACGTGTAATCAAACCTGTACCAAGTAGTTTCTACAGATTTGGAACTGAATGCAGAAAGAATTTCTGATAGTACAGAGAGGATGTAATGCCAAAGAGATGCTATTCTGTCCTAAATATACTACTCATAATTTTGTAAAGGTGTAAGGCATCTCATTTATCCTACATTCCCCCAATGGTAAACGCATTGAAGCAGCCAGCCTGGCCCCTGTGTGGTTTTTTTTTCTGAGGGGGCATGGTGAATTCTGATCATGTAATGGCTCTACATGAAGCAGCAGAAAACCTTTACTGAAGTTGCAGTTTTGCTGGCAAAACTGTGGCTGCCCAAGTGTTGAAAAACAGACTCGTATGATACGCAACTACTGAAATACTGAATAATACATGACTCAGCTCACAACACTTAATGATTTCCTAACACTGAATGACTTCCCATGCTGGAAAAAATGTAGTTTAGGTGGGTGCCCAAGGCAAGGGGGCATTTTTTTTGCATTACACATCTTCCTAATGGGGTACCAAAGCAGACGACATTTAATCCTGGGGCCAATTTCAAAGCGCTGCTTAAGCGAAAAATTTGTATAACCGTAAAAACCCTGATTGATTGACAAATCAGGTTACCAGCCAAAACTTCTTGTGATGTATATTGTTTTGGAATGGTATTTACCTTTCTTTTGTTTGGTTAGCAGGACAACCTTTGTTAACTGGTAAACTTTGTTTATTAAGCAAGGTTGTTTTTCGCGCGGGGCTCCAATTAAGCAGCTCTATGAAATTGGCCCCTGGTTGTGTACTTGTATTCAGGATCTTGATTGGTCTTTGGCCGGTGCTGTCTCTGACAGGACCGACGCCAGAGATTTGAGGAAATCCTATTCAGTTACGTTCTTTAACTCTTCTGAAAGATGAATCCTTAAATAAAGGAGTCGGTTCAAAAATCTGGCTGTTGCACAGAAGAGGGTGAAGAGAAACTGTATTTTGTGTCCACTGGGAATAGTCGAAAATGGCCGTCCAGGATCGCGCCCAACAGCATTGCCGACGGGATGATTGTTCTGGCAAGTTCAGGAATGGTTCCGAAAGCATTGAATTCTTTGACTTCTTGTCGTAGCAGTTGCAATGAAAGCCCAAAGAAACCACACACAGTGTTGACATGTCTTACAATCAATTCAGAATCAATGCACGAGCCACAAACCTGTTCCAAAGACGTTCATTATAAACGTGGTTCAAGTTGCAAGAATTTCAGTCGAATCTGCTGATAATACTGGTTCTCTCTTTAATAACAAAGAATAACCGCACAGATTGTATTTACAGATAGCTTTAGGGTCAGCGGATAGGTTCTCAGGATACGGTGACGCTTCCCTCAGTTCAGGAGCGACAGATATGTCGCCTTTAATGAGCTCTTTTTGTAGAAATAGCTTGGCTATGAATTCGATAAATTGATGAAAATTCTTCACGGACCCTACCAATTCAATTGTGGTGTTATCACACGAGAACAACTGCGAACTGTGCACAGTTGTCCTGTGCGGGGCCTCGCTTTCCCCCCGAGGCTTGTAGAAGGAGGCTCGCTGGCGATTGTGTTTGCACTCGGAGGAAAAATATTTACTCAGGAAAATTGGTCCTCCGGGGTAGATAAAAACACCCGCTTTCAACGATTATTGACACTGGTGCCTATGAAGGAATGTAATGATTTGAAAACTATACATACGTCTGAGGCAGTTCTAATGAATATGCATTTCATCACATGAAAGTGGTAGGGGCCTGCTATTGGCTGATAAATGACAAACTAAGTCACTCCCAAAGCCACATGTCTAAAAATGCTTTTTGATAGTGATAAAGTTTGAATATAGAAAAACTTAAAGCAAAAAACGAATCCAACACATCCGTTTGAAAGAAAAACTATGAATATAAAGACTTAACACGTGTAGGCTTATATATTCTTAAATTGTAAATTTAGATTTCAAGCATACAAATTCCGCAGTTGAATTACGAAATTTAAAAGATGGTTAACAAACCTGTCACTACTGTAAAACGGGCCAATCACAATGCACGAAATCTGCAGGTCCGATGCGCGTTTGAAAAGGGCAGACAGATTTCACGCACTGTAATTGGCCAACGCGTTGTAGACTCTCGGCGGCGCACTATTGTGAATCGCCCGTATTCGGTAACGACCCATGCAGGAATTGGATTTCGGTGAAATATATATAGGAACGGATCCCAAAGAAGCTCGATATTAGTGGGCCATTTAAAAGCTACCAAATCACGGAAACGTGGAAAATTTTAAAGAGCATGCGTCCTTTTGACTGCGCTGTACTTTTCTATTGCGTCGTACATTCAACGAAGGAACGAATCTCAATTCTCCTTGATACTGCATTCGTAAATCAATAAGTTTGAGGGGAAAAGTTCCGTTTAAAAACGGGCCGTGAGTTTGGAGAATGCCTACTTGTGCCGGCTAAGAGGCGATACACGCTCCTGTACACCTGGTTTTCAGTTTCAGAAAGCCGGACGTGGCTGTGTGATCAAACATGCGCCTTGGCTGCAACTGGATACGCTCTGTAAACGTCAGCGCCGACTTCACAAGATCTTCCCCAAGCAGTGTTGACTCTGCCAGCCTAGTCAATCAAGCCACGCCGCCCGATAGCCACCCGATACAGCTTGCCGGAACAGAATCAAAACTACCTCTCCTTGCAGCTTCCATCTCGAGAAAGGTGACGTCTCTTTTTTTTTTCTATGTCCGATGATACGGAGCCTAGCCGTGAGTATAATGGCACCGTTTGACACGCTGACTGTCCCCCATAGCTCGGCGTGTTTTCACGGCGAGCGGACGCGACGAGATCCCCGCTTATCCGGTCAGCCCGGGGCAGTGATTGACGAATATAAAATCGATTTACCAAAGACGGCCGGGTTGAAAAACACATCAATGAACATCTTCCTCTCATTGATAAAGCTGTCAGCCAGAACTATCACAGCTAGCGTCCTCAATTCTTACCCCGTTTTGCGTTTGCCGTTTCATATTCTCTGAAAGTGAGCTTCAATTACAGTGGTTAGTGCTTTCGCTCACAGCTACATCGTTAATGTCCGACCACAGTGTACATGCTTTAAAATGGCCTTTCGTGGTCTTTATGAGGGGTACGGGTGCGGCAAGATTTGGGTACTGTTTACAACCTTTTGAAAGGGGGAAATGACCCCCCCCCAAGCCTTCCTCTTACTATTTTATTTTTTTATGTTCTTGTTTTTTGGGGGGGGGGGATTAACCCTGTGCCACCCGCCCGATCTGCCTTCGGTGGAAGGGTATTGACAGAACAAAAAGTGCAGGAGCGGCACCTGTGAATTAGCAAAATCATTAGTTGAACAGGCAAGTCGAATCACTGATGGGTGCAATTAAAGAAATCTTATGCAGATGGCTCTTCAGACAATAATTGACTCGTACGGTTGCGTTAAAATAATGGGTGAAGCATGATAAGTCCATGTCACCATCACCGCTGCTTGCACACTGCATACCTGACCCAAATCCCCGGGGCAGAAATGAACACTGCTGGTGATTATTACAGTGCACAGCCCGCTAAACCGAGGTTTGTATAACAGTAGGGGGTAAGCAGTGTCACGTATCGGCAAACATTAATGTTCGGCGATACCCGATACCAGCGAGAACGATCTAGGGAGCGAGGCATTCCAGCCGTGATGGGCGGTACAGCTGGGTGTCGAAAAATGAGACATTTAATGGCGCAGTTGAACTGCATGACGCACTTTAACGGTACTTGACATCGCCATGGTGGGATTCGGTTCACGTCCGACGATCCGGTGTCCTAAATACTCGTCGATTTTCCAGTCTCCCAGCTCCACTCATTTAAATTATTTCAATTAGGGTACACGTTCGTCTACCTCATTAAGAAACAATGTAGTTGATTACTGGTAAATTCCTACAAATGATGGTTTGGACGAACTGCCATGTTTGATTTGACGGCTGCAGACGTACGACAGAAAGAACACTTGATATGAGCCAAAGATATGCGTTCGTAGATGACGTGTCAGCACGTGAATTGCCAATAAAACGAGGACTCAGGGAAACATCTAACGTACAGTGACCTCGACAGTGTTCTTCGCTTAGACGTGTCCCCATCGTGCAGCATCATGGAGCCATGTCGATTTTGATATTAGGTTGATTTTTAATTGAAATTTAACCTGCCTTGTACACTGTAAAACCCAAGCGTTTAACTTCTAAACGCAAATTAAATGCATATCTGTAACACTTTTTAAACGTTTTAATAAATGCAAAACGTTTACATGCTGAACACACTGTTTTATTTAATAAACGTAACTTAATGTTTATGATTAAGTACACGAATGCGTTCAGCACATGTTTGGTCTTTAAACACTTTCTAATTATAACCCCGTTTGTGTGTTTATTACTTAAACGACTAAACGTGTGTACAGGCTGTAACACTTTTTATACACTTCGACTCGTTTATAAAGGGTGCGGTGTTTATCAACTACATATTATTGGGTAACGACGACGTACAAGTGTTCAAGTCATACACAGTGACACAAAGAGTGGCAAGCCTACTGCTAAAACTTGTCACTGGAACAAAAAAGGTTGTTATACCGTTGACAAACCTCATTTTTTTTCAGAAAATTATCACCCCTCCAAGATCCTGAGATATCTATGCACGTTATATGCATGAATCTGTGTAAGAAACGAAGAAGAAACTCTGATTAGTCCAATCTCTCTACATCTGCAACTAACAACTGCCAGGGGACACGGAAAGAGATCGAACTGCGCATGACGTGCATGTACTCACAGCGCATGTGCCTAGTCGTGGGCGGTACAATTGAACATATGGTCCAAACATAGTGTTTATTTTTCGTGTGATAATCCATTAATAATCCACTCTGCATCCATAACTTAGACATAATATCAGCTTAAATGGACCGCTTACAACATCACATGTGAATCTGCACAAGGGTATTGGTGGAAAATAATGAAATTCGCGTTTTAAAACCGCCACAAACAGTCGCTTAATGTGCCGATAACACTTCATATGTTAAACACGTTCACGTCTAAACGTGTTCAAATGTATAATGTGTTTAGTTTATAAACGCATCAAAGGTTCTTCAGTTTTACAGTGTAGTGTTGATAAAGCCTAAACTACACAAAATCTATGTACCTTGCTCCATACAAAATGAATATCGTATAACATGCTCGTCTTTAAAGGGCCGTAACATGAAAGTTATTTAGTTATATAATTTTAACAGCATTCTTTTTTTTTCTCGATTTCCTGAAAACTGCTTGGTATACTTTCTTAGTGAATTTTAGAGAAAAGTGAAAGTTTTAAACTGTACACACTTTTCTTGAATACTGAAGGCGTTAAGACACTCTTATTTTTTGCTCCAAGTGTGAATTCAAAATTTGCTAACAATATATAGTAGTGAGCAAATATTTGTGAGAAAACGTTTGTTACGAGCCCACACTGTCAAGTACTGAAAAAACGAGTCACCAAAAAGAAAAGAAAATCTAAGAAAGTGAAACATCCAAATTTGTAATAAAATGTAGTGCAGTGTTTTCTGTATCAACGAGATTTTTTTCTGGAATGACATAGCCCTTAGCCATGAATACGCAAATTTGAATTTGCATAAAAATAAAATCAGGCACCAAAATGCACTTAAATGGCAAAACGGAAATTGAATATCAATTGAAATTGGACACAGCGGTACTTTTTTTTTTACAAGGACTGAATCAAAACATTTATGTTGTATGGACCCTTTGGCTGTCTTGGAGGTAATCAAAGTCTACGTGTGTGGTATCATTGGTTCATAGTGCGCGTGCCATTTTCTCAGCTGCTATTCATGTATCCGAAGGCAGACAGTATTCGACCCGAGGCCCCGTCATTGGGAAGTACATTTTGTCAATTATCAAGTTTGTGTACCTAGCACAATTCGTCCAGCTTGACCGCTTGTTTTACATGTCGTGCTAAAATCACTCGCAGACAATAATATATAACCCCGATTTATTTTCCATTTGCAAGAAGAAATCGTCCATTCAAAGCACATTGTAATTTTGATACCTAAAACTATTCAAATATTTTATATTTAATATAAATGTCGAATATAATCTTATCAGTGGAGACCTATTTCATTGTTATTTCCACAGAATCGTTTTTCATTTGTGCTTTTGTTTTATGGTTAGATTTACAATTTTTTTTAAATCATTACTAATTCCTGAAAACTTTGTATTATAATTTATATTCACTGGAATATAGGGTTAATTTATAATATTGTAGGCCTAATGTCGTATACATTTTAAGCGCAATTAAAACGTTTAATACCACTTTCTGATACTGGGCATAAGCAGAACTTAATATTTGTGATTTCAATCGTACACGAATCTTCGTGATGAAAATCGTACATCGTACGAAAATCGTACCGGTGGGAGAAATAAATGTCTGATTGTTAATATTTAAAAGTAAAGCTAGACTGCGAATGCATGTTGCGGGTAAAATGCGCTGTTCTGAGCAAATATTGGACGGCAGACTGATTGGGTCGGCCAGGCCAGTGCCATGGCAGATGTTGTATTCGGTTGAAATGTACCTCACAAAAGAGAGTGACATGAAAGGTTCTGAGTTAAGCCAAGACAACCAAGAAGAGGGGCCTCCGTGGGTCCCAGTCCTTTGTCGGATTACCGAGATTGGACATTAATCCGGCTGGAAATATTAAAGCGTATCTCGTTCCGGAACGACAACCACATGCCAGGGCGTCCGTGGACTCCGAAGGCACGGTATCCGGCTGTCGGTCACAATGAACTCTTCTGGTTAGTCTCCCGAAGAAACAGGTGAAGTCTCAAACATTCTCAACAGTCGAAAGTTCAAGATGGAAGGCAGCTATGGCACTCGATTATTTGTGTTCTCCCGATATTAATATATTGTATTGTGAATGTACATGTAGGCCCTATCGTAAAAACGTTGATACATTTACATAGAGACTGCAATATGCAGCTTTTAAACCTCAAAGGCATTGTAACTGATAAACAAGCATATCCATGCGCTGTGCAATGAGACAGACTCGGCTCACAGCACACGATCGATCAGCCGGTTAGTAATGCATATCAACACCAACAATATGAAATAAAGGGCCTCCGTTTTTGTCGTTGTAAGGAGCGTGCAAACTATACGCTGCAAAGCGGATTGGGGTTTTGTGTGTTGTTCAAACACATCTAGAAATAACGATAATATTATGCTGCGAAATCAACATATTATTTTTTCGTTTCCAGTTTGTATTCTGTGGGTGTGGGAAGGGGGTTGGAAAAAGCACTCTTCATGCGCTTGTGAGAATGCTGACAAAAGGGCAGGCCCCTCAAGAGAAGCCGTGATATCAAGCAGACTTCCCTGGATGGAACCAGGGAGGAATAAAGAACACACAACAATCTCCGCGTTATGCGCCGAGCATGAGACCCCCCGCTGCACTCTCGCTGCTAACCAAGCATCAGCGGACAGAGGGGAGCAGACGACTTCGGGCGGTACGTGACTCAGGGTCGGCCCTTTGATAACTTGCGATTTCCGCGGCTCATTCCAAGACCAAGCTTTTAACGTAATGCATAGAAAAAGGGGGTAAGGTAATGGATTGATTCGATCGTAAATGCAGATATCGAGTCGCTGGAAACTCGGGCAGTCGCTGCTTCTTGCACCACTGGCCATGAAATGGATAATCGGGTAAAAATCAGTCTATACGGAAGATGGCTCAGAGATCAAAACATTAAACACTGGATCTACATTATAACCCAGATACCTGCGCATATGGAACAAGTTGCCTGTGAGGCAAGACATTCCGCGAGGTTGATCGATGAAATCGCTCTTAAACCGTGCATTACACGCCTTTAGACGTTCTGTAATTGGTTTAGTGGACCTTTTAGAGGTATTACCAATCGATGGAATTGTTTCATATACGGCGGTAATAACGCAGGCTGAGGCCACCGGCGGAGCATTAAGAAGATTACAACCAAGTGCACCTGTTTGCCTTTGAATTATGCAATGTTGGCCCAAAAATATGTTGGCAACTTTGAAAATTCATCACTGTCCAAAACAGCACTAAAAATACCCAACTCCTTTCATCGGCAAACAGCTATCACTAGGCCTATATGAGGCCTTTCCGGTATCTGCCAGACACTTTTTCCCCATTCTCTCTATTTTTACTGGATGCAGTTCCACACAGAATTCATATTTGACTTTTTAATAGACACCTGTTTTCGGGCAATATTTACTGTGCATCAGCTCCTGGCGCTTGAGCTGAAGTGCTCCTTTTAAGGTGCAGATCGCGTTTTGTTTATTGCTCTGCGGATCAATTGAGCCGAGACTATACACACGGCGTCTTGGGGTTGACGCGCCCGCAGGCGTAGTAACCAATGGTGGATGTTTCTGATTAGGATTCATTGCTGATTGGATGTCAAGGAAATCGCGTTGATCGTTACCATTCCCATTGGCCGGCGGGGTCCCAAGTTTAAGCACTGTGTAAACGTGTTGATCAGACCTCAGATCGGACTGCGTGTATTGCTACTGTTTACTGCGCATGAACGAAATCGCTGACGGAATTCGAGCTCGCTGTTGGATATTTCGAATTCGACGAATTGCAAAACGGAGCTTCGCTTTCTGGGAAATTCTTAAACAGAAGTCGTCCTGCGCACTTTAATTAACACAAACGTCATCGGCGTGCGCCCAAAGTTGAAGAGTCTGTTCTGAGGGCTCTTGCGTCAAGAATTGCTTTTAGCTGGACCCAAAGGAAGGGTCTCGAAGAGCGCTCTTTGCGTCTCGAGAGTGGAGCATCGTTTGAAATGTAGAGAGTGTCGTCGTACACGCGTGCATTGCATCGTGAAGTCTCCACCGGCAATTTGACTTCTCTCCTTTACTTTGTAAGGTACACATGTTGATAAATCTTTCATTGTTTATAAACAGTTGTAAATAATTTTGTGGCAAGGCGACGGGGTTATATTTATTCGGTGTTCAAGTACGTAGTTTCTTTCTTTCTTTCTTAAAACGTTTCGTTCGGACTGTGAAAGTAACGTTTCTTTCGGACTGTGAAAGTATTATCGTTGCAATAGCCATCATCCTGAACATGGCTGTAACAAAATCATGCCTGTAAAGTATACCGTATTTACAATGACCATAGTAATCACAGCATGGAGGCTTGGCGCACTGTCTTCGTCAGTCTTGAAGACAGGCTGGACTTTAATGCATATTGTTTCATCGTAGCATGATTAAATTCACCCGACCGTTGATATGCATAAGGCAAGATGCAGTGCAATGCGTCACTGGTAAGGGCGTCTCGCTCGTTGTCTTGCTACAGCCCAACGATCAGTCAGATTCGTGAACCAATACGAACTTTCAGTGGAGACAAACTTAATTCTTGACCATCAGTCATGGCAACTGGCAGGGGTTTAGGGGCCTATGTGCGTCACCATGTACAGGAATGTGTTGGGCTTAATACCAAATGTGCGTGTTGGTTCTTGTTTTTGAAGCTCTTGGTTCAACCAAAGCTTCAATCAATCAAGCTTCAATCAATCTTGGCCAGAAGAGAATATCAGGAAAATTGCAAGTAGGATAAGGAGATCATTGTTGTAACAAAAACTTGGTAAAATGCAACACTATCGCTGACACTATTATTTCTACATTTATAATTAGCTTATTTGATAAAGCAGTAATATGTACTGTTACTTTTTCAACAGTCTTTAAAACTACAATCAAAGGTAACGATTTAATACAAATTTTAAAAGTAACTCTGGAAAACAAATTTTATGTATATCTTTGCTTGCCATGTCGGCGTGGTAAAATCGCATGTAATTACACGGTTCGCCACTTAACCGTCAGGCTTGACGGAGCCGGGTTGTTCGGTTCGATAACCTGTCACGTGTAGAGCGGCTACCTCACGAATCCATTCATCTTGAAATTCTACACTGTATTTTTTTTCTAATTGCGATTATTTAATTAAGTAATTTTGGTTTATCTTGCAGAGCGTCAATCCATCTCGTCAGAGTAATTTCCTTGCCTTCCACTTTGGATTTGAGAGACTGCAGCAGCTGTGGCACCCGACTTTGACGACTTTTCTTAGCTGAGAAATAACTTAGTTTGACCCGTGGTGACAACAAAAATACTTGTAACATGGATACCAATCATACCGATGGAAACTTTGAAGAGTACATGGCTTACATCCTCGAGAAGTTCAAGGACAAAGTGTACCCGCGCCCCTACGAGTACCTGATCATTGTCATCTACGGCTTGGTGTTCCTACTGGCTATTATTGGCAATACGCTGGTGTGCATCGCTGTGCTGCGCAACGAACACATGCGGACGGTGACCAACTACTACATAGTAAACTTAGCCCTAGCCGACATCTTGGTGTCTTTGGTTTGCCTTCCCTTCTCAGTAGTCGTCGACATCTCAGAGACTTGGTTCTTCGGCGATGTATTGTGCTCCATTATCCCTTACATACAGGTCAGTATAGACACAAATTAGCTTCCTTTATCACGAGTGTCGGAGGTGGGGCGAGAGATATTCCCACCCGTCTGAGTTCTCCTGGATCGTGCTCATAATTTCGTGAGGACAAATTACAAATTTGCTACCATTCAGCATTCCAGTCAGACAGCACAAAATATTGCAAGGCGAGTTTAAGTGCTTAGCAAAATCAACTGAGAATCTTAGACTGGCCCTTGCCCTGTAAGTCCCAAGACATGTCTCAGCTACTTGATAGTCAGGACAGGTTTCCGCCTATGGCAGAGTGATCAGAAGATGTGCGACGATTGCGATCTTTTTGCACTAAAACAGAAAAAGGGAAAAAGTTGTCTTTTGGTCTGATAACCAGATGACTGAAAACCTGTCACAAAAATATTCATTGCGTGGCATTTTTACACCGAACATTTTTGAGGCAAACATTTTACATTCTTTCTATAATCGTGTTTGCCATTTTATTCCGTCGAGCAAAACAAATCTGTTCAATGCAAAAAAACGCACCAACGTTCTCAATTACAAAAACTCTTATCTTTCAATTTTTTATCTAATTTCAAAACAAAACACTAAAAGGTTCAACGCTTTCTGGGCCACAGACCCACGTTTCCCCACTTCAGTCAGTGATTGTCTTGTAAACTAATAACATAGGCCTGTACAAAGCTTGTACCACGAACCACCGATAACTTCCCCAGAGGAACTTATAAATGCATGGCTCCCGCCGCGCAACCAGTCGGGCGAGGGAGCAAATTCCCTCGGGGACACGGACTCGATATCGCCGCCTTCCCCCTTTTTTCCCTGATGCGAGTGGCAACCGCAGCACTTGAAGTGCGTTTCGGCGAGCCCTTTTAAAGCGTTTTCGGCAAAGCAAGATCTTGCTTTGTGCTGTAAATAAGAAATCTTTGGTCGTCATAAGTGTACATTGATGTTCATCAATTTCGGATTTTCCACTTGAAGGGGTCTAAACAACAACAAGTATAAAACCTGTCGCATTTAGTATCTCCAAGAGTGCTTTTATGATTTGGTATAAAAATGAGTTTCTTCTGTCAATATGCTCGATTGCTGGACTCATTTCAACATCAAATTGATATACTGTTTACTTAAGTGTTGTAGGCCTTGACATGTTCCCAAAATTGGTTGATATAATTCATATCTCTTTGTTTGGTTTTTGTTTGTTTGTATTGTTGAAGTTGTTTGTTCTGTAACTAACCAGAGTTGAAAATGTATGACAGTGTCCTTGTTTGAACTGCATGATATTTGGTTTGTATGTTCAGCTGAAAAGAAAGTTGGGAACCTTGTAATGACACCATAATGTGCCACGCTTGGACTTTATGACCATCAGTAGTCAAACCAAAAGTACAGTCAAACACAGATAAAAAGGGCACTGATAAAACAAAGTCATGTTTATAACAGCGAAAATTTTAGTCCAATATATCTTTGGTTTTCCTTGAATTCTTTTTCTGATAATACAAGTTATGGTACCCGTTATAACAAGGTAATTTTAAAGTCCCAAGGACCTTGTTATAACAGTGTTATGAAGAATCAGAGATCTAATATATCTGACAAACAGTACCATCATCGTCGACTTTATCAAGAGTGACAATTCACGCGGATAAGTAATCATTTTTGTTCTGGTCTGGAGGCACAACAGCCGTGATTAATTAATAGGATACCTGCAGTAATCTGTAATTGAAAAGAATTGACAACCGGAAGGAATGGTCATCGGATACGCTTGAGTGATCAGGGTGACCGTCTCATGCCAAATTGACGCGCAATCAGGCCCTAATTCTCACGGCCAACGAGCGTAGGTAACACGTCCAGTTGTCTTTTAAATTAGAACCCCGCCACTTGACCTGTTGAGTGGATTCTGACATTAAAAGTACCAAGAGAGAGGACATCCCCACCGTAATTGAACACGAGCGTGTGACCTTGCTGGTGATTTAAGACTCCCGGGTGAGGAGTTCCAATCCACCACGCTCAACAGCAGGTTACATGTAGTGATCTCGGGTCTGTCACTTTGTAGTCGTTATAAACGGGTAACACTGAGTGTCCACTAGCCCTCTATCTGGTACCCAGGGGTACCCATTGTTACAAGTGATATTTTAGTAGCCATCAGTCCGTTGGTTACTACATTATCCGTCAGTATAATACACTTTTTATTGGTACTCTTAGGGCACACACCGACTGCAGTCCAAAATCGGCTGCCTAACGATTTGTCCCGATGAACAGGGCAATATGGAAGACATGATCGTTGTTTTGGATGTACATGTATATGAGCCCTGAGTTGAACCAAGGAAGGGCGGGATTTGCCTTGCAACGAAAGGTCCTTTAGTTTTAAATGAACTCCGCGGGTTCACAAACGACTAGAAATGCAAGCGTTGCGGTCAAATCGCTACCAAATCAAATGAGCATTCCCGACTAACATGGCTCTTTTCAACCGATGAGGGGGTGCTTCTGCTCTATGCAGATGGTTTGGATATACAAAGAGATGATAACAACTATCTGTACATTGTTATATTTTTGATGAAACAGATCTATTCAGAGTCAGACTCCCTTTAAGCTTATTAAAACGGTATCAATTTTTCAATTCAGTGACCAATTTGTTTCCCTAATTTGTTTTCACCTTACTGTTTTCCCCATTTCGTTTGCAGAACACTGCCGTGAGTGTGTCCATCTTCACACTCACCATGATCGCGGTAGACCGCTACCTGGCCATCTGCCGCCCCCTCAAGTTCCAGATCTCGTCCCGGCGGACCGTCATCACCGTGATCGTCATTTGGGTCGTGTCCCTGATTACCATGCTTCCTCACTCGCTCAGTATGTCCACCAAGTCCAACCCTGTTATGGCGTCCTTTCTGAAGCCCCTGTGGTTGACAAAATGCCTCGATGTGAGTCAAACAACTCGACTAATTGTTTTCTTTCAGCCTTTTCTTCCAATTATCTTCTTCTTTCCTTGTTTAAGTGTTACTTTTCCTGGTATAGAATCACCAAATTCAGTTCACAAACCTGTTTCATCAAATCGCCATGCTTTTTTGTAAATTTAGAACTATTTCAGTCCGGAAGATCTTCTCGAAATTACACTTTGGTAGTATTTGTATCACGGTCAAGACGCACCGGGCAAACTTGACCTGTGGTCAGTAGCGGTCGTCTCTTGAAATTTCCCTGATTTCTCTGGTGCTCACTCTTCACTCAAGTTAGCTATTCACTTCGAAAGGTGTATTCAAACTGTTTTTTTTTCGTCCGCAAAGATTTTATTGACGAATCGGTTAATATTGAACTGAAAGCCAGGTAAACGCCTCTGTGGGAGAATTTGAGATTATAAATGAAAACACTCAACTCACAACTCAACTTGACCCGACTCAACTCACTCAACAATTCAACTCAACATGAACTACTCATCAATGTAACTAAATGCAACATCTCCCTTTATGTTTTCGGCAACATTTAAGAAATGAATTGAAGGCGTGCAACGCACCCAAGCCATCTGGCACTATCTCATTACAGTTTACTGCTTGTAAAATTGATTCGATTGATATGATTGAAAATGGCTTCCTCCAGACTAAATGGCATTTGGCTGACACTAAAATGTTTCTGTTGTTATGATATAGGTCAAATGGCAGGATTCTCCATGGCGGACGGTGTACACTGTAGTGACGATGCTTTTCACATATTTGCTTCCGCTGTGTGTCATTGGAGTCGCTTATTGTATGGTGAGTAAAAAAAGTTACATTCAGGTTGGGATCGTCTCAAGGCATGAGACGATCCCAACCTGAATGTAACTTGGACGACTCCCTAATGGAGCTTCTTTAGAGAAAGAGTTTACTAATTCAGTTGGTACCTGCGTGCAGAGATCAAGAGGGCCAGCTGCCCTAATGCTCCGGTATAGGCCTATGTAGCCAGTTGCCCCCCTTTTACTGGATTATTGTAATAACACATTTTTTCTGTTGTGGTGAAACAACACACAAAAATAAACAATCAAACGAGAGTTTACAAGGTAGGCATCTACCGACACTACGAATATCTAACTACGAACATCTGACAAAGGCAGTACAGTTCAATAACAATGAGCACCCATTGTTATTGCGCTGTACTTCTTTTGTTAGATGTTCATAGTGCGAGGGCAGGGCTTTGTTCCTCTGTGATATTCACTCGACCTCTTTCTCTCTCTAAAAAAGACCAGTGCATCATACCATCTGCAGTATGGTGAAATCGGTCTGAATCAAGGGTGTAATTTGACATTTGTAAGTAAGCTCTGTCAGAAAATCGTTTGAGGGGACAGACTTCATTTCGATAGAAGTCTTTCTGGTAATAGAAACGTTTATCATTGCCTGATCTAGGTGTGTCTACGGCTTTGGTCTGGGATCCCGTCAGATGAAACAAGCCACAAGCCCACTAACAACAACCCCAGCTGGAACGGGAAGGGCAAGCGAGCCCCCCGCAGCATGAACAAGAGCACGGAAGCGCAACTCGAGTCCCGCCGCAAGGTGGCGCGCATGCTGATCGTGGTGGTGGTTCTCTTTGCCGTCTGTTACCTTCCCGTACGCGTTATAAACGTCTTGGAGTAAGGGACGAACTTTAAATCTATTTGCCTTTGTATTCCCATTATCTAAATGTTATCAAATGAGTCTTGAGGATGATTATCATTTTTTGAAATTCTGTGTTAGTTTTCATTGTTTCGCGCAAACTTGTGTGTTTTTCTGTGTGTAATAGGCTCTTGATGAAAAGTGGATATTAACTGGGAAAAAACGTTTAACAGAATTCCAACCTAGGTTAGGTTAGGTTAGGTCAGTTAGAAATAATTCAACAAATGACATAAAGAGCACAGAAAAGAAAAGAAGAACATCGCAAACATATTATTTTCACATCCATAAGTCTGATTTATTTCTTTTTACCGTGGCTTTCTCTCCCCTTAACTCCTTTTAGAGTTTTCGGACTGTTAAGTAGTAACAACATTGACATGCTTCTTCACGGAGAGAAGGTCACATCGGCTTACCTCATAGCGCACATTATGGCATTTTTCAACAGCTCCATCAACCCTATTATATACAACTTCATGAGTGGTAAGTTAAGAGTATATCTGGAACAGGATCATCTGATTAAAAGTGGGTTTGGTATGGAGACCATGTAATCGTGATAACTCTCAAGAAACGTACATTATCCTGCATTCACTTATTTCATTAGTGTGCTGTTGCGTTTTTCTATGGATTTTGTTACAGTTGTATTGTTTCTTTTGTAAGACTATCTGGTCTATGGTATGTGGTACGACAAGAACCTCTATTGCATCACTTTTTAATTTTATCAGCTGATTTTATATTCCTTACATTGTTTTTGTATTGATAAGAATTTTCATGCCTGTTCGTGCACTCTTTGAGGTGAAGCAGCTTTGAGTTTGTTTCCAATTTTATGGTAACGTTATGGAACTTGTAGATGGTGTAATGTCCTTTCCACGTACACAAAATGCATGTTGAGTCCAGTGTTGACCAAGGCATGGTGTGTGTTTTTCCCTTTCTCATAATACAAATCCTCTTCGCGATTTCCAAGTATCTTGAATTCATCCACTCCTAGAAAAATTCCGGAGACAATTTCGAAGTCTTTTGTGTTGTCATGGAGAGACTCTACGTCGGCATTACATCACAGAATACAAAAGACGGACTGCTACAAAGTACTTGCGTTGCAGGGTGGTATAGGGTAGGCCATGTCGTTTCCTTACACAGTAAGTCTGAATTCATGGGATGTAATCATTTTGACGAGTTGGTTACTTTTCAAAACGTAAACATCATGGGCACAACATTCCTTCAAGAGGGTATGTTGCATTTGATTGGATAGATCAGACGATAGGACTAAGAACATTATTTCCAAAATTCTCGTCACCAATGGAAAGGCCTATATCCCTCAAAAATTTGCCCAACCAAAAAAATTTTAACTTTATTGGGCACGCCGGCATTGCATATCTTGCGCATAAGCTACGTGCCCATGAGCATTCTGTGGAGTTCAAGGGCATATTTATCAGCCTGTGAATATTTTTGTCGCGTGTTTACTGACGTGCAGGGCAGATTCACACAAAAACAGAAATGGTCCCGGTGTTACCGACCTCGTACATTCGTATGGTAATTCACAGACAAAAATACGTTTTTCAAAACTGAAAGTGGAAATAATAAGGAAGTTCTATTACCTTTTACCCCCCATATTGTTGTAATCTTTTGGTTTTACTCAAAACATGGGCGTCTCAAGTTCCTGATGTACTCACCCAGCCTGAAATACACTTTTTGGATTATTTAGATGTAGTAAGAACCGTCTCTCCTCCCTTCGTGTTTCCATTATATATGCTTTGTTGGATTGGTGCATGCTTGTGAAATTCTGAACACAAAATCAAATCACCAAAACTATACAATGTTTGCATCATAAATAGTACACGCACCTCAGTAGTTAGAACGTAGAATCGCAGCATAGTTCTGTCAGATCACCTTCGTATACATGTACTTGGCTGTAGTACAAGTTAATAGTTTAGTAATGTCCTGGATGAACATCAAGACTGCGTTGACCACATTCGCATTGTATTGACTCCATCTGTGCACACAATTAAACTTTCCTGCCTTTTTTATTTTTCTGTAAGGCAGCAAAGTAATCGGCTTGTCATCAAAATTAATATTTTCAAAACCCAACATTGAAGGTTCTGATACTCCAGGCCAAACGAGTTTGGAGATGTTCCGAAACCAAAGCTGCATCCCAATCTTTGGTCTGAAGCTATGGCTAGGTCTTCTAGCTTTCAAATACGTGGGCGTATGCCGACATAGATGTAGCCGCTTTTGGCTATTGTGTTATATCACCCGGATAAAATAGTTCAGAACATTATGATAACGGTTACGTCTTACCTCTGATTTTTGTCCTCTGCAGCTAAGTTCCGCCAGGCTTTCAAGACGGCGTTCAGCTGCTGTCTGCCCGGTTCCCAGCGCCAATCTCGCTACGCAGGACGCTACGGGTACAAGTGCCAGTCTTTTATGAACAGCACGGCGGTCTCAGATACGCGCATGTCTAACACCAACACCGAGTGCATCTCAATGACAAACAGACCCAACTCTGTGCACATACCAGATGCTTAATGGCAACAAAGCTAGGAGTATCGATCTAATCTGCGCGACTCGAGCCAATCACGAATATTCTCTAGCTCCAGGTGATGTTTGGATCGAGCTGGTTTAATGAGCGTGACACACGCGATCCTCGTCCATTGTTTACTCCCTATTACTGGAAATGGCGGTTACTTCCATTCGTCACCTGTGCTCAGGATTGTAGTTTAAATATCATTGACAGCATTACTGAAACAGCGGTTGTTCCGAGTGTTTCATAAACAGTCATGCCATAGGGACTGTGCGTGGCAGTCATTTTCCGGTAAGAGGTTTGTTCCACAGGCATACACTTTAAGTAGACCTTTTGTGCAATCCCTGTGTATTAACAAAACAGTTTCATGTAAACCGGAAAGCTTGTGCCATGCACAATCTCTACGGGATTGTCTTTATCTCTTGTATGCATCGTTGAATGTAGTACCATAAAAACTGGTTCTAACGTGACGTCTTGTAAAAATATAAGATTTGGGGCTAATTAAGTAATCATGTTCAATGATAATCATCTGTTTGCCCCCGTGCATTTCATTCCAAGGCATCGTTTCGTTTCCGGTCAAAGATTTTGGAATGAAAAATTGCCCTCTGACTGGCTGATTTTTCAGGGGCAAAAATACCATTATTTGTTTGTCATTTATAGATAAATTCTGAAGCGACGGCAACGAGGAAACGCACATGATATTTGGTAAATATAAATTAGCAAGAGATTACTCCAAAAAATTCAAGAGATAAATGCAAGTTCCAAGCTTTCATGTTCTCAACAAAATGAAACGTGTTTTAATACAGTCTTAAATGATGTTGGAGAACTATATTAGTTTTATTAAAACCAAACAGATAATACTCGGCGTTGTGAGGTTTGTTTAGGCAAATTACTGAGTGGCATGATGTATCTTTAAAATAGAATGAGCACATTCTGACTTTTGTCAATCGACAGTATTGATGAAAGTTACCTAAATGTTTCATTAGTCTCCCGAGTAGTCGTCGTTAATTCTGACTTCCCCGTATTTGTAGATTCTTGTGGATGACGTAGACTGCAAGAAGAATTTGAAAACACTCACCTTGCTCTCAGTTTCAAATAAAGTGAAATGCATAGCCGCATCCATATTTAAAAATAACGAAATGGGCTCTTTGTATGAGAAAATAAAAGTAGAACTAAAGCTGAGAATGAGCTTATTGGCGTCAGGTTTCTGAAAGATGCAAAAAAACAGGTGCTGGTTCAATCGCTGACGAAGTTATGGTAAACAAAAACTACTCTTATAGAACGAATTTGGTGTCTCATGCATGCATCTGTGTGCGAAACGTTCCATAGTATAAAGGACTGCAGAGCAGCATGAGTGATAGCACCTTGCTTGGTCACCTTTTCCATTCCTGAAGGCTGAATTAACTCTCAAACAATTTTTTATATATAATATTATATTTCCTTACTTACCGTCCCTTTATGAAAACCTTGTAAAAAATCCTTGTAAAAATGCTTCAGATAACTTTGCACGTGTGAATGTAATCGATGTTTTATCACAAATCACTGTACATATTTCGGCACGAGTTATATTTATCTTTAATAATAATGAGATGATGGTGATAGGAAATAGCGAAGAGTAACTATTTATTTGAACAAAACTGCAATGCCGTCTTAAGTGACCTCTCTGAAAACTGTCAATTAAGAGAGTGGATGTAATACCTGTATAGTTAAACATACAATGCACTGGTAGACTCTTGCATTTCAAGCTACGTGTGGTGTTAACTCAAATTCGGACACAATGTGGAAGGCCTTGTACACAAGATTGTCATTTGAAATTATGCTCCCCATAGTCATTATTTACTGCACATCACATTGATTGGAAGATGCCAGACTGTTCCGCAATTGAATATGACTCATACTGCTTTCCCATTTTTTTTATTTGGCAGGGCTAATACGTGATAGGAATTTTATATAATAATTTAGATTTTTTGACTGAACTGTTTACGTTGTATCGTCTTCCTCCAGTTTATTTTGAATCTCCAAATGTATTTGGGGGCTTGGCATCGCTTTCGATCCAAGATGGCCAACTCGTGAAGAAGGAAAATAATATGGAGGTTTTAAAGTTGATGCCCTCTCATCTTCTCATTGTGTGGATATTGAGACCTGTATAGGGTTTGTTTTAATGGTGGACAAATTTAACAAGGTTTACATTACTGTGAAGTCATATTTCTGGAAAACTATTCCAACTTCTTGAAGCAAAATATTAAAATTTCGAACAGTTCGGTACTTACGTTATTCACAATGTTTAGAGGTTTTCACACTTGTGACTCAATTACAATGCAGTTCATTAAGTTGAAGTATGGACTACGGTTTTTAACTATTATTTTTTTATTCCTCGGGAATTCTGGGTTTTACTGTTACTTTTGTTATGAAAGTTCTTTTACAAAAGTGAAACTACATTTTTTTGAGATAACTGCATGTTTTTAATCAATACTGTGTCATAATAAACACTATCTCAAAGATTTTACTTTATTTAATTAAAATGGCGGTTACCGGTGATGAATTTTAGAATACAAATACTTGAAGCTTAGTTTTTCTAGTTTTTCTAAATGAAACATCTTAGATACGTTTTGACAAATTTTGGTTGACAGGATATAAGCACATAATGGATTGGTTTATCTTTGTGATTATGAGAGAACGAACGTTCTGTAAATGGTTCTTAATGGTATGGTTGTAAACAAATAATGAATGTTTGTGCTGCGGTGGTAAGAATAATTTCATGAGGTGAGAGGGGAGATTTTTCATTCCACGAGGAGAAACCGAGTGAATGAAACTATTGTTTCATACAATATCTGCATAAATCCTCTTTTGTTAGAACAAACAGTCATCGTGTATTTACGTCTGCCACTTCGCGAAACAGTTTCGTGGGCGAAGCGTCACCCACTGGTGCCGTAGGACCGTGTAGTGTTAGACTGGTTCCCGTCCCTACATTATTTCCCTCTTTCTTTATACCCAGCAAGAAATGAGACCGAGGGGCACCCCACCAACATGTCCAATCCCTATACACATTCCAGACTATTGTTACTTAACACATCCCCCAAGATGTCTGAAAGGAATTCCCCAGATTCCTGCGAGACAATAACCAACACAAAGCAAGGGGGGTTCTCTCCGTCTCATACCTTGCTGCATATGTTTGTCTTAGGCCAAAACTCCAGTCTCCAGTTTCTGATCAGCGTGTCGCCGTAGACTTGCGCGTCAGCAAAAAAAACCCGAAGTTTTTTATTTAGTATAATACGATGTCCAAAAGCTGCCAAACTTGCTTGATCGACTGAAATCCTGGTACTGCGTAATTTTAACGTGTTGAGATGAGAGTACGGTTGAGTAATATGTAGAGTAAAGGAGTCCCTCTAGGCTCCCATACATTTAGTCGGGCACTCTTTTCAGATAACGTAATTCTGTATTATACATTTACATCTTTGAACCAGACCAACGAGACGGTATTGTGTCCTAAACATCTACAGGCTTTTAAACGCTTTTAAACAGTAAATAGTGAGGGGACAGTCTATTTCAGTGTTGGTAGCGGCTGTACTTATGTACAAATACGTTTGCGTACATATGCAGCAAGGTATGAGACGGAGAGAACCCCCCTGCTTTGTGTTGGTCATTGTCTCGCAGGAATCTGGGGAATTCCTTTCAGACATCTTGAGGGGATGTGTTAAGTAACAATAGTCTGGAATGTGTATAGGGATTGGACATGTTGGGGGGTACCCCTCGGTCTCATTTCTTGCTGGGTATATTTGTGTGTATCATTTCTGGGGGAAAAAGTGAGGGCAAAAAAACCCTCGTCGCCGCACCACTTTTGGATCCAATCCCTGACAAGAAACCGTAGACTTTTTTGGCCTTACTGAGAATATGAAACGCAGGTCGAAACCAGTCAAGAGAGGTTCTATTCCACGGGTACAATTCAGTGGCACGTGATCAACGATCCACCAATCGGATGATGGGATTTGTTGTCCAAGTATTGTACGCTAAACAATATTGTATGGATTTTTTTCTTAATTATATGCTATCAATAAATGGAAGCACTATACTTTAGAGCCAAGTTCCTGATCCGTCTTTTTTTTAGTTGCTGTTGGTTAAACAACGTCTGATCCTTTGAAATACTTTATAATAATAATACTTAAAAGAGAATGTGAGGCATTCAACCTGTAACAGAACTGACAACACAGCCAAACATCTTGCCATGATACTGCACCCCCTGGTTGGCAACACTGAACACCACATCAAGAATTAAGACCAGTTCGCCAGCTTCATTCAAGGCCTCACGGCCGACCAGATGACATCATGGTCATTTTCGGCGTCTCCCTCTTCACGAATGCCCCCTCCTCCGAGGCCACCACCATTACCAAGGACAGACTTCACGCAGACCCCACCCCAAAGAGCAGACCGATCTTACGCCAGAGCAACATCAAGACCTGCTGCTCACTTGCGTCAACTCTTCTAGCTTCCGATGGAGAGAAAGATTCTATGAACAAACAGGCGGAAGCTGTATGGGATCCCCTATTCCCCGGTTGTGGCTGGCATATTCATGGAAGAATTTGAGCAGCTTTCAACACTGCAGATCACAGACCTAAGATATGGCTCGGGTACGTAGACGGCACCTTCGTCATCTGGCACCATGGGCAAGATTGCCTCTAGCTCTTCCTAGAACACCTCAACGGGCTTCACAGCAACATATAGTTCACAATGGAACAAAAAAAGATGGCAACATCTCATTTGTTGATATTGGGGTATCCAGAACGCATCACGGCAGTCTCACCCGCCGAGTATACCGGAAACCTACCCACACAGACCTCCACGGTGCGTCCTTCCATCATCCCAAGATCAAGTCTCCATTTAACCAGGCCCTTGTACGTAGGGCATACAACGTCTGCGACAAGGAACACCTCGCCCAAGAACTCCATCACATTTCCGCGGCACAACAGCGGAATGGATACAAGCCCAGCCAAGACTCAAGGCCCAAGATCTAACCCCGGCCGAAGGGTTTCCTATACCCAAAGCCAAATGGTTAAAGCCCCAAGTTCCATTACCCTCCCCAACCTAGGCAGTACTCCCCATCACATCAAGCGCATCCTTCACAAGCTTGGCATTCAAGTGTTTCACAACCTCCCTGAAAATGCAGAACCTGCTGACCTCCCACAAGGACCGTCACAACCCACTGCACAAGCCTGGAGTGTACAAGATCCCCTGCCAATGTGGCAAAGTGTACATTGGTAAGACCGACAGGGACCTTCCTACCTGACTCAACGAACACAAAGCCCATGGCAGGAAAGGGGAATACAAGACGCCTGCCACGATCAAGCACTCCCACACCGAAGACCACAAGATCGACTAGAGCAAAGCCGAACTCTTCACCAGCATCAAACACTGGCACCCGCGCCGCATCAAAAGCCATCGACATCATCAAGAATAACACAATACCACAAGACATCGGTTTACACATCAACGACATCTGGCGTCCCATCCTAACATCACAGTCCAATGGGTCCCCTATACCCTAGATATATCCAGCCTATTGGTCCCCTTGGCTACCTTCCACCACACTCCCCTCCATTAGACTGACACGCCTCTTTGGTTTGCCAGCACAGACCACAGTTGGTTCTAGAGTTAGAATCCTCTCTACACCTCACTGCCCTCTACACACCATATAAGCTGCCTCATCCTGACGACGGACAAAGCATACTATATAAATCTTTTCATAACCCCACAAACTCAAAAAGAGATACATCCATGATGCTACCGCAAACCTATCTCCTACTTGCTACCTCTACCATGAAAAACTTCAAATCTAATCAAACCAGTGCGAGTTTGGCACCGTTTGTAGGCGACTGAAGGCTGATGTAACTTGGTTCTTACAGAGAAAAAGAATTTCAGACGGTCCGTGAATGATCAAAAGGTAATATCTACATATACAACAGCAGCACATTGGCCTATGAATAACACGGTTATGTTGTGGAACCCTCAAAATAATTACACAGAAGATATTCAGAATTTGAAAATTCCAACCTGTTCTATCAAAGAGGTGCTTTGGACCGCAAACAATGTTCAATATAGTATGGTGGTGACCTGGACAAGTGGTATCCCACAACGTAAGCATGAAGCAAAGAAGAATATAAGGCACGGCATTGGGAATAAAGACAACTGCCATCGCCGGAATGAAGAAAGTTGCTCGAGACGGAAAGACCATCATCCGAAATGGTGTGCATAGATTCTCAAGTCGGGATGTCCGATGTTCAGAGTTGATCGTTAAGTTGAGTCCTGCATCCTGGACTACGCCGGATCAGGAGACGAAGTGCCGTGTGTAAAATGAGTCCTGAGTTAGTCGCTGCTACGCTCAATGGATATTCCAACACATCTTCTAAGGTGTCCTGGTCGGTGGTCAACCTTTCTGTGGGTGAAACAAGGCTGTCTAACTCCAAAGTTTTAGTCTGACCTACCAAGCGATCAGAGAACGAGTGAACTCATGTGGACGACCGGTTCATAGCACACAGATCACTTTGAATCAAAGAAGCCGGTTTGTCTTGAATTAAATGTACTAGGTAAGACTTTGCGAGTAGGATGTAAGCAGAAGTGCAGACAGCCATTGATACATGGTTTTCCGATAGTGTTCTGGACGGCAAAAGTTTCTTCGAAAAAGTTCCCTCCCTTCACATTCTTGTCGAAGTATTCGGGTTTAAAGCTGAAATATTCAACACTGCCTGAGGTCGATGCAATAGTAAAAAGCTGAAATTCAGCAAGTGTTGATGCCCGTGGAACATAATTGTATCTAGCAAAAAAGGCTGATGTCGGTTTTAGAGACTTGACGATCGGCATTTCCTCTGAAATGTTTGTTGCAGGTTTGGGAGAAAAGTGGGCAGCACTGTGGCTATTAAGGCGGGAGAAGCCTGGCTTACGGTCTGGTTACCAACCGTGACGATCCCATTCTCTGGAGTTTAGCAACTCTTCCTTTTCCAGCTGGTCGTTCAAGTCCCAAAACCTGCGACGACCGGATGCAGCTGCCACTATAAAGCCAACTCTCTTTCAACATTTTGATGATGAAACAGATCACTAGAGTAACTGATATCTCATCGAAGGCGAAGGTGGTGAGGAAGGTGTTGAAGACGGGTTGTGATGGTGTGGTGCTCCGTTGAGGGGCGCGCGGTCGCCAAAGTCAACGGTGGACGCGACTCAGGTGAGTAAACTTGGTGTAGTAGGCTGGAAACGATCAATGTTGGTGTTGAGTAACCCAGTCACCAAGCAAGTGAGCAGAATAAATCTTTCCTCCTGACAAACTACTTATAAAAATACCAATAATAGGCGCTATTTTGCACGAAATGCTCGCGCGAGCGAACTTAGCTCAAATAGACCAAAATTGTTCTGAAGACTGTTGCTTTGCTGTTTTGTACACACAACGCGAGCGTTTCTCCCTAGGCGCGTTAGGTATTGTGGCGTCTTGCACACAAAATAATTAGACAAGTCCGAGGAGACACCATTCCGAGGGGGTATTTACTCGCTTGCAGCTTTCTCAAGCCAACCTTGACTCCATGGGCTGCGCATTGCTTCAGGGTGCATTCCAGCAAAGTGTTGGATTTCTGCGCGCGAGCATATTAATATTTTGTTATCCCACGGCGGATTTTAAAATAAGACATGCCAGAATCAGGAGGGATAATACAAATATTTCTATAAATCCCGAATTTTGCCTTGTTGGTACCCAGTTCGGGGTATTTCTTTTACAAAAAGCTCCAAATAGCGGGCCTATTTTGGATATAACCCCAAAAAATTGAAACAAAAAGTAATCTTCCGGACATAATCTTGAATTTCCAGCGACAAAACGGAGGCCAACC